CAAGTCGTAATTGCAATGTTTAGAAATGTCTTAATGTCTTCAACACAATCATGTAGCATTATAGCTTAACACAAAATGGACTAATTTCTATTAGTTGTGCCACTTTAGTCATTACAGAAGCTTTTAAAGCTATTAAACTTTAAAATACCTCAATCGATAGGTTATTGACGCGATTTAAGTATTCTTACGTCAGAGCGCTTTGGTAATAGAATAATGATTCCGATTTTATTAGCCCATGTAACTGCTACCATTGCAAACTAACGAATGCAGCAAATTCACTGACTTTTATTGAATTTATGTTTAGTATTTGCAATAAATAAAGTTACAATCAAGAAGAATGGTATCTATGAATATGAATTTAGTATGCAAAGAGGCACTCGAAGGCATGATATCGATGAAACTTTTTATTGAAGCACGGTATTTCAAGGCTAAAGAAATTATCACTAATTTGAGTCTGTAAAGTATATTCGACTCTGATTATGACAGAAACTAAATTGGATATCGCAGCTTTCAAGGTTTTGCTGCACTCTATCCCATATTTTTTCATATCTTTGAGCCCTCGAATTGATAATTCAATACTTGGATCAAAAGACGAAATTGATTTAATCGTTTCATCAATGTTAGTCAAAAAACAAAGTATAACAGAAACAGATCAGTTGAATCCACGTTATTGTTAAAGATTGAGTTTGTAACTCGAAAAGTTATAAGTACATTTAAATACAGCGCCATAAATAATCAAAGTAGTCTATCGCTTCAGACTCATTTATTAAGAAGTATCTGGCTTATCATAGAAAGTTTCATATAGTTAAACAGAAATAAAACTTTATTTGCATCATGGAGAATGCAACTAAGCGTACCTAGGGTTAAAGCCATTTCGAAGCATATTTACGAAACTCAAAATATTTAATGATTGACTCCAATTTCAAGTAGGAAGTCTATATTCTCGATCAATACTACAATAGAGAATCAAATACCTTTTAAAAACATAGGTTTTATTCCACTAATTAATTTCAAGATTGGCTCGATTGTACAGAATCTAAAAAGGTAAGAATTGAATATTGCTGTTTTGAATTCATTATCCAAGTAAGTTTGTTGGCTTATTAACAATGATGCAATCCATCACATTGGGAAAATCTGAAAATTAAAATGTGGATTTAAAGGTTAAGGTTTTTTAAAATTTATTGATAAGTTATAAGGGTTTACATTTCAGGGTTCTATTCAATTATCTATTAACATTTATTTTATTATATCGTTATTATTACATGCGATAAGAGTATTATCGAACAAAATAATATAATTTGTTATATTTGATTAATAATCTATATCTTCTTCTTAAAACAATGTTTACTTTAAGTTCACGCTAAGTAAGCAGAACGGTAGGCTTTATTCTGGCCAATTTTTGATTGATACTGATAACAAGCCATGGCTCTACATTGTGCTTTGCATCCTATGCGATCGTACTTGCGATATTTTAGAAAGTATTTAAGAGTTTCTAGTTAGATATATAATACAATCATACCATAGGATTGAATTAGAGCTATCATGTTTAATTAATGGTAAGTTAGAAAAGTTAGTATTCAGATGTAACGGTTCGAACCACCATGAGGTCTAAATGACTAAATTTAGTGGTTAACGTTTATATATATAGATAACTAATAATAAGTTACAGTAAGAACTGCGAAAGTTATTATTTTGTTATAGTAAATTATGCAGTACTGTAGTAAGAGTTCTTATACGATAACTAATGTTAATTGATTATAGTGTTATGTCTTGTAACGCTTTTTATGCATATCCTAAAGATATTCAATTACAGATGATATTGTAAATAATTCTGTGTATGGATATACTGTAATCTAATTATCTAGAATTGTTCAGTATATGTATAAGATTATGAATAGTTTCTGTATAAATTTAGCTATCCAATATGAACTAAATTTCATGAACTGTTATAACTCATACATGATAGCAGCTGCCGAAGTATTTAAGCTCGGCAGATAGTTGAATAAAAGAATAGTTCTATAGTTGTTTAACGTAGAAGCAAAAGCGTCTAAATTCTTGTGAAATAGTTAAGGGATACTGAATTCCGGAGGCTATAGTAATTTAGAGATATGATTTACGTTATCTTTGTCACGAAGCTGGTTTGCGACATCATGTCAGTACGGTAATCTCGCGTTTGTTTTGCTACCGAATTATTAGATTTTGTTACTGTAGGCAAGGCAGTAAATTATATGTACCATATTCGCGTAGAAATTGCAGTTAATTGCAGCAGTAACATAAGTCACATACTGGGAAGTAGAATAATCTACTATCAACTAAATGTATAAGAAGCAACATCACAATTTTTGATTCTTGAGTCAAGTCTAGACATTGTGGATATATAAGCAATATACACTTGATAGTGTGACGAGTTGGGGAATAAGTACGTTTTGCTAGTAATGCAATTAATAAAGTAATTCCGTGACGGCAAGTATGATATAATAGAGCACTGTGATATAACCGATCTCGCATTTCCAAAATTCGTAGAAAATTAGAACTACTTGAGATCTTATACAAAGATGATATACGCATAGCCCAACTCTAGCCGAATGCAACAGCCAAAAAAACTTGTAGACAGAGGTACTATATAATCTAAAGTTGCCTGCTAAAACAGTTTTGTGTTCCGCTACAATCTGCATAGCAATATTCTACCTTATTTTACAATAATTTAGATTATATTAGTAACAACATATTACAGCGGACCATCTATAATTCAATATGGGTAACTGCTACAGTATTCGAATAAGGCATTATTTCTGCCAGTCAACGCACGGTCAACTGACCATATTCTAATTTATGGCTTACATATCTACTTATAACTCTAGCGTTAAAACTATTAAATAAGGTTTATGATAAATATAGAAAGCCAGTATACTTTATATCATAATAAACATGCCTAGCAGTCTACAATTCAATAATAAGTTACATTACGAGTATATTCAATATTTCCTCGTTCCGTGGTGCATATAACCTACCGTAATAATTCCTCAAAGTTGATTAATCACGAAACATAATAAATATGCCATGTAATAGGTATACCTATTATCGTTACTTTAATATTAAAAAATTTCTTGGAAAACTGTCAGAAAAGCTTGATACTTACTAAGCGTACAATTATAGAATGAAAACTATAGTCGTTTATCATGCATTAGTCCAGTTCGTCAAATAATTTTATTTCTAAATGTATTCGTATGATGGACTAGATATTCGTGGATAGTGTATCTTGTAGTTTAAAACTGTTAGAAAGTTTTCATACCTAATAAAATTGAAGACTAAAAAACTATTCTCGCGTATTATGCACTAGTCATGCACGTTAGTCAATTTACTTTCTCAGTACACTCGTAAAAATGGACAACAAGATATTTATGTACAGTGTATTTTGTGGTCCAAAACTGTTAGAAAGTTTTCATACCTAGTAAGTATACAATTGAAGAATGAAAAACTATAATTGCATGTTATGCACTAGTCATATTTGTTCGTCAATTTACTTTCTCAATATACTTGTATAATGGATTACTAGACATTCATGATATCTAATTAATTATCTTAATTTTTAACCCATTTTTATTAAGGTGAAAACCGATTTTAATTCAAAATATTACTTAAAAAGCGTATACTTGGTTAAATTTTATAAATAATTATGTAATATAGTCAGCAATAGTAGTCAAAGCCTGGATCATACAATTCTGATACGATACGATTATCAATTGTCTGAGAAATCCATAAGAAATAACAGTAGCCATGTTAATATCTTTTACGTTCCAAATGTGCTTGACTGTTCTTGAAATAAGAATATTCCAGATAGTAAATTAGAGCTTTTATGCATCAATTTGGTTTAAATTTCCCTGTCAGCTTTCTTTGATTGCAAATTTCAGATAAATCAAACATCACTTGCTTCAGGTTTGTTAAGTATTTTTAATCTTATACGCTCCAACCTTTCATAAATCATTTATAGTTTGTTGCTCTTATGGCACAACTAACCAGCTACTCAGTAGTACATTGTTACAGTGACTGCATGATTAGCAACTATATTAGTTTTACGTAATACCGGTATAATAAAATTATCACATCCTGCACTGCGAATAGTAAGTATTCGTATTTTTTGTAAGAATGAAAATTTTGAGTATTTGCGTTGCTTACAGTAGAGCTGCGATAATATCAGAAGAATCTTATATCCAAGAGTTGAAATGGGAAATAAGCACGGCATATCTTCAAATCTTTAATAAAATATACATGTATCATATATTGACAGATCATAATTACTAAGCCTAAGGAAATTTATTGCTTATCCGGTACCTTGATTACTATTAGTACCGAAACTTTTTAATTTCGATCCTGCACGAATGAATAGCGACCCCGAATTCAGTAAATGACACTTTAAGGGTTTAAATGATTCCATAAAATCTTTGAGATATTGTTACTTAACCTACTCTTCGTTTGTCTGTTCATGTATGTAGATTACATATTTACGATTAAGAATATAATGTTCGAATAATATGTTATCTAGAACCAGGATTAAGTTCGTTGTATTCGTACTATTTCGAAACCTCAATTTATTGTTGCTTTGTACGAAAGAACTATTGGAAGCATCCGTGTGAATTGTTATCGATCAAAATAAGAGCTGTATTATAGCAATATAACTGTATAATCTCTAGATTAAGTAATGAGAGCTAAACGACTCTCTATTTTCTAAAATTTAGAAATGACTAATACTATTAATTATGACTAATGAAGAAAATAAACGTCTGCTAAGGCTGTACTCTTTCATACGAGTAAGCAGAAGTTTTAATTGACAAAATGTCTACATATTGTACAACTTATTTTACAGGTTTCTTACTGCAACAAATAAATCGCATTGATGAATACTTTAGCTGACATTTACACAGCTAGTTATACTTAACTGCAAAAATTACAAAATCATCTATATGTTTTGAAATTTTTTCCAACTAATTAGTTTACACAATTTATTCATCTCTGAAGGCATTTGCTGCTTCTTGTGTATGGCCATCTTTAGTCACTGTCTTTATTGGAAAACGCGCATAAACGACATATCTGTTTAATCGATTATGCTTTGCTTTGCAGATTAAGTATGTCACAATACTAATAAGAGATAACATGATTGCTCCGCCAGCAAAACCAACACCAACTAGACTTATCAGACCAGGCTCTGCACGTGAGAATTTGAAAGATATAATAGATTTAGAACAGTAATCGTCTTTAGTAAATAGCAGGAAAATTCAACATGAAGAACGAAAAGATTAGCTAGTATAAATTTTGTTTTAGACAAAGTTTTTGCAGATCACACTTACTGACATAAGCAGCAACGCCCTGAACTTCAAAGGTGGAAATTGCAACTACTTCACTGACGTGAATATCAGGAGAGTTCAACTGCGCCTCAAATTCAATCTAGGATTTCATTTAAAAAAAATTCTAGAGTTAGAGATATGTAACCATAATTATCTAAATGAGTCAAATAAATATACTAAGACGAGCTAAGTTTCATATGTTGACTGGCATTTAAGTTATTTTAAATTTCCACTTAATTAGTAAAATTTACAAATTAAAATTTATACTTACCAACATAGTTTACAGTAAACTGTTTGATTTACAATTGATATGCCATTATGATTTGTTAATATAACAGCTGCTAGGTACTTACCTTAAAATTTATAACGGGAATTGAGATCGTTGTTATGTTAATCCATTTATAAAGGGCTTGTGGAGGCTAAACATGTATCATGAAATAGTATAGATCAACGATAGCAAGCTACAGGTCTACCAATATACTCGTACGTATTTTATCGTATAAAATTTATAAAATTTACAGTCATCGACTTAGCTGTGGAGTAAAGGCAATTTTGTCGATGTTTGATATAAATAAACTCATACATTTTATCATATACTATTAATAGCGACTTTAAAATTTAACAATATCGCTGATGGCATCGTACTCGCATATTGTTGGTTATATGCTAGTATTTAAAAGTCTTTGTTTGAAGCGATTATCTTACATACTGTAGAAAATGTAAACAGGGACTACAGTCCGATGACATCATTGTTGAAAAGAACCGAAGCAAATATAATTTCATAACATTTCTTTTACAGATAAATCAAATATATGTGCCTAAAGTAATACGGGTTAAATAGTCTAGAAAGCTGCTAAATTTTTTTCCTTGGTTTGCTATGCGAATTTAGAATTTCAATTTTAAGATGACTAAATCCATGTTACGTTTAGGAATGTGTATCAAAAAATTTTGAGAAACATTGTAACAGGGATTTAATTAACTTTACTCTCAGTAATCATAAATCCCTTACGATATTCGTTACCTAGCAAATTTTATTATGCGATGACAGAATACTTACAGTCGTCGGATCAGCACTAGAATTTGAGGTATTCCGTGCAGTTGGTGCTATAGTATTAGTTGGGAAATTTTGTCCGTTGAATAGAAATAATGTTTCAGTTGTATCTTGCGTTCGATAGCGCACGTAAAATCGTCCTTTGAAATTATGTGTTAAATATCTAAAATATACCTATGAAAGAGTGTGCGATTGATTTATAACACCCTAATTTGATCGTACAAGTAACTCCTAGGAAATTAAATTATTAGCTATGAGTTTATCACTGTAACTTTGGTCTGGTTACTCTCTTACAGAGGCTGCATAACGGCCATATGCTTTGAATGCAGGACTTGAAAGTATTGCTCTTCCGGTGGTTAAGGATGGAAAATAGGCGTAAATGTATGCTTGGAAAAAAAATTCTAAGTACAAAGATAAGTGACGAGATAAGCGTCCATGAAATCAAAATAATACCATTTCTCATCAGCGATTAAGAGCGAATGGAGAAGAATTACTACAGAAGTGATTAATAATTTACCGCTAAGATTTGGAAGAGGTTCAAAACGACCTGATTTGTACGAGTATTCTGTGGCATAAAGCCATTTTATTTGAGCTGTGTTTTTCCAACCGCAGAAATCAAATCGGAAATTACATATAGTTGGATTAACATCTATAGCAGCAATATATAGAAGGGTCATATCAACTGCGGCACAAAAACTTTCACAGTAATCAATAGTATTAGAATGAAATCATTCAACGTTCTACAAACCGTTGGATGGCTGGCCTCCATAGCACCGTGCGAAAGTCCTTCTACTACTTAACGAACAAGGCCGATTTAAGTCTGTCACCTCTATTACACAGTCGTTAATGGATGATTCGTAGCCCTTGCACTTAAAATAAGTAACCCAGACCGTTGCATCCAAAATAGGATGATATGCTAAATTAAATAGGAATGATGATGTATCAGATTTCTTAATATAATCTTCTAGCTGATATTAGTACTCGAAATAGATTGTTTATATGTCTAGAAACTCTTAGAAAGTTTGATTAAATATGGTCACAGGTGGTAAAATTTAAATTATTAACTTACTTTGTATGCCACCAGCAGTAGTGTATCCTAATTGACGACAAATTACATCGGCTTCTACTATGCTTAAATTTGAGTAACAAACTGGGATTGCAACGTTGTTTCTGATCACTCTTATTTCGCCTTGACTAGGACTCGATGAGTCAACTAATTCAACTATAAAGCAAATACGCCGACAAGTTTTGAACTTCAGACCGAGAAGGACTTTACAATTATATGAGCGTAAACATTCAGAGGGAAATGTATTTACAAATATATTTACTAACCCCCAAAACCACCAGTTCTAGAGTTTTGATCCCTAGAACAAGTTATCCATATATCTTTGTTATGGCTGCACTGTTGAGTAGAAGGATTTGCATACACTGTGCAATCTTGCAATCCTGCAGCGTTTGGATTACATTTAATATCGGATCCGCGCACTAGTACTTTGTCCTTGCCTGTAAAGCTGCCTCCTATTAGAATTTAATAATTTGAAAGAGTAGCAACTTAAATTTCGATAAATAGAATTTCAATTAATAAGAATCAATCAATATTTCCATATTGCATGTTCTGTTACTGAAATTACTTGTTATATATCCATAGTTGCCCTTATTAGTTTGTTTGCATATAGCAGATGCAGCATGTACCGACAACCTATCACCACAAACAGTTCCCCACTGCCCGTTAGCAAACAGCGTTAGAAGACCGGAATTAGCAGAATTCTCGTCTTTATTTACTATCTGAACCGGATATTTATCTAATGCGATAATATCAAACCAAATGTTAGTACACGTGATTACATTAATAACGTTAGCATGACTCTTAATCGAACATACTTCCTAATGCATAAGTGTAAGAGTTATTTACACTTTCAACGCATTTTGGAATATTGCAATAATGCCACTGTGCATTCGGGTTAGTTGTATAGCACCATGGTCTCGACCTATAACTGCCAGGATTTCGACAGTAATTTGAGGTGAGATCATCTTTGCTACGTTTCATGGCAGAAACATGGGGAATTGACCGTTGAGATTGCCAATCCTTGCACTCATAGCCGTCTATAGTTTGGTGATTTTGGCCTCGATAATACTGACCATTTTCAGTATAACAATTGATTTCTTGATTTTTTCGATTATAAAAGCAATCAATAGGTCAAATGTATAAAATGAAAGCCTAGAAAACTTTACTGTAATAATCTAGTGTAAACGTTGATGATTCGAAATTTAAACACAAGGTAACCATTCATCAGCTTGTCAATTTAAATAAGCAATTTAAAAATTTAAAGCAAGATCTTAATTACCTTGTGGAATAATTGCAATGCTATTAATTTGGATAGTACTAGCGTTATTTGTTTTCACGGCACCTCGAATTAATATCTGTGTAAAGATTATATTAGTTTTTGTTTTAGAGTAAAATATATTATGCGATAAGATTCTAAAGCAGAGATTATAGCAATTAAGAAAGCTGTTAATTTTACTATATTATTTTCGCATAAGACAATTACAATATCTCTTACACAAACTACTCTAATAGTATCGTATAATGGTAGTAACTCAGAAAAGTAATTTTTTTAAGTTAGTACCTCTTCCGAAACATAACCATTCCAATATCATACCTGATAATTATTAAATTCCGGATGAAAGCTAACTGAATATTCCATCCAGCTTCGTTCATTTGGCGACTGTACTGTACCAATAAGAGTCATATCCGAGCTAAATCTCGGATAAATTGCGTATACATATATCCTTTGCAAATTATCTGTGCCAAAGATGCGGTAGGAAAAGGTGACCTGTGCATGTAAGAGATTTTAATAAACTTGAAAGCATATTTTATACCTTTCATTACGGCTAAAGTTAAGAATTGAAATAATTTTTTATTCTTGTTATAAAAGTATAATTGAACAGAATTACTAATAGTTATTTAAGCGTGCTCAAAGTTTCAAAAGGTTCAGAAACAGGTACCGGTGTTAGAAAATTATTTATTTTACTTACCATAACAGTAGAAACTCCGTGAGCTAACAACAATGGTATACTGATGATGTCGGCATATTCCCCGGGCTTTTTGTTAAATGCTTCAATATATATATAATTATTACTCTCTTTTCCTACAATCACAAATAATTAAAAAAATTAAGCATGCGTTAGACATTCCTAGGGTATACCAATGACAGATACACACGATAGTTGATTAGCTTAATAAATTCATTCCAAGGTTCATTTACAGTTAACTTATGTTCACATAGTCAACTCTGATCACGCGCAGATACAGCTAATATCTTATTCCAAGTTACTACAGCTAATTGCTATATTTCGTACATATTCAGAAGAACTATCATTGTCGAGGAACTTATATTTCTGAAGCATTAATGCAACCTTATCTTAACTATCCTCTAAATTAAGGAAAGTGCGATAAATAATAGGTGATAGTATTACGGAGTAGCTTTTTTATAGCTGCTATAGCATAGTTTTCATAAGATAGCTTATCCAGGAATGCATTGGCAACAATTTATCAATGACATCTAATATATTTTTATAGATAAATACACATAGTTTCCTAACATTATCTAAGTAATATGAATTTTTTCACTGCTTATGTAGATTAAAGTATAAATTGATGGATTTTTCAATAATATTTGCGTTAATTTTTCGTGTAATTAAGATACTAGTGGTTACAGTTTCTTCAGACGATGGTTGTCATCAGTTCTTAAAGTCGTACTGTGAGCAGGTATCAAGAGAGGATAAACGTGACAGTAGACTCGTAATTTTTGGTTTTCTTTAAATATTTTTCATTTTTTCCATGTTGCAAATTTCGATTTGTAATAAGTATATAATCAAACTTAGTCTTAATCATAGCTATGTATTGTAAACCGTCAAATCAAAGTATCTCAAAAGATTGAAGTTGACGTTATTTTGATATCCGCTACCTAACTGTAACAGGTTGAAACAATCCTGACAGTTATTCTAAATTTTACGATTTTTTACCAATTCCTTCTTGGTATGCATTCACTGATTGAGAGCCAACACTATGATGATATTTCCAGTCGAAGAAATCGATATTAGCCAGTTGTTGCCAGCCGCACAAGCCATTATCGAAAGAACAAACTGCAGAATGCTTCGGTTTAACTAAGATATGAAATGTAAATAAAGTACATTTATAAGATTGGTGCTGTGTTCTGTGTCATTAGCAGGACAGTAATCCATGAAGAATGATAGAAATACTATTATTTCTTACTATAGAACATTATTAATATATCACCAATACTTTAAAGATATTTACGAAATTTTTTAGAAATAATGGAACATAGTTAGGACTAAAAACACTGTATACCAGCTAATGTCAAATCGGCACTTTTCGTGAGCGACTGTTATTATTCATTATATTGGATCGTGTACTTTACTATTTTATCCTTAAAGATGCTTCATTGACTGCGATAACATTTATATTAATTTGATAGTATTGTAAGGTTGTGCAGATTCTAGTTATTAATGAATCCTGATAGAATTTATTGCATTTCATAACTTACGGTGAAATTCATAGACTGAAGATAGCTTGAAACCTGTATTGTAATAAAGTAGTAAGTGAAAATTAGTACACAAAGCTTTTTATCAGCTCAATATTATCTTAAAGAGTACAGTATTAGACACGTTGTGTTGTCGAAAGTCTTTGATTTGAATAAAGTTATTGAAATTTACAAAACATAGCGTCTTACCTGCTTTTAAGTTGTTATCACATAATAAATAATCGAACATACGATCCAGGTGATAGTTTCTAAAGCGTGAAGGCGTACTACAGTAGCCATCTACCGTTACATTTTTTAGTCTGGCAGCCCACAGAAGAGGAAATAAATACTTACAGTCACAAGGTATCCTTTGTTCAAATAACCTATAATTTTTGAAATATGCACGAGTTCATTTATATCTTAATTTTATGCTTTTCATATCAGCTAAATCACTAATAAGCTAGCAATTTATTCCATCGTAGTACTTTGGAATTTATACAACAGTCAAAAATTCAGAAATTCAGTTAATTGAATGCAAAGTACCAAATAAGCGTAGTAAAATTTAAATTAGATTTAGAGTTTGTTTCATAAGATTAATTACATGTAAGAACTTTAATTATTAGTCAGATCGTGAATAGTTACCATCTACAGTACTTCAGAATTGTATTGTTAAGTTCGTATGACTTAGATATGCCTTACTTGTAAAATCATAAATAAAATAATTATCCTTAAACGGATACTCCTATTAAAGCTTATGAATTTAAATTAGTAAATGTAAAACATACTGTAATACATGTCCTTTGATAATATCTACAAGTTTACTGATATTTCACTATCGCAAAAACTTGATTATAGTAAATCTCTGAAAATTAAATTAGAGATAATAACGAGCGGTAACTAAGTACGTTGAAGAAAGTAAAGGTCACGGAAAACCCGCAATCAAGAATTCAAAAGTGTAATTAGCTTTGGTAATTACTGACATTTTAAATAGCTGCTTTAGATTGCGATATCAGAAAGCATAACGTATACTACCTGAATTAAATGAAAAATCAATCTAAATTTAAAGCAATTCACGAAATTTGTGTATGAGTATGGTAAAGATAGTCTTACAAGGATTTTATTCCCGTTGGGATAGAAAATGAAGGTGCTATCAAGTTAGAGCATTTAATTTCTGTATCGCTACATTTGCAATTGTTAGGACAAAATTCCGATCCAGTTCCAGTAGTAAAGCTAAAGAATATCAGGACATACGCCAATAGAAACGAACGTAAAGGAACGATTTTCATCTTAATAAAGCTCGATAGGATCTGCATGGCAGCCTTTATATGAGACGTAACTTATTAAGAATATAGCAAATCCGGTCACGAAAATGATGCTGTCAGATAAAATCTAATTAAATTAAACAGTGAGTTAATGATATGCAGTTGTTGAGGAGTTTTTCAATTCCAGGAGTTCCATTGCTATTGTTGATATTATTATGGAAATTAGCTTGTTAACTTAATAATTATTCAAACCATAACAGCTGACAGATATCTTTGTATTATGTTATTACAGAATAATTATTTGAGCGATCTAATAGCTATCGCAACGGTCTTGGTGTTTTGATCTAGGTTCATCAGTATAATAATAAATTCATGAGCTACTACACGTGACGGTGTTAACCTTGCCCTAAATTGTTACATAACGTAGATGATAGTTATAATTAATTAATTATAAGCCATTATGGTTTTACTTCCTATTTCATAAATTTTTTTCAATTTTGTTAGCTACTGCACTTCCACACCCTACATTTGACTATAGGTTAACAGATATTTGACAGTACTTGTTTCTAAGCATTCAAAGCTACATACTACACGTTACAGTATCTTACTTAGAGCTACAATTTAGAATTTAAGCCTTAATGTAGCTAGGTCAATCCTGGATAACAGATTATTATCATTAAATCATATGAAGTATAGATTTTACAAACACCAAACTTTAGCTTATGAAAATGCTCCGCTACAGCTTACTAGGGCGCCTGGTATTCTCACTTAAAGCTATAGCTGACACCTCTAAACTATCCACTAATAGCATTCGGCTAAATAACCCTTAAATGTAATACCCTTGATACCACTAATCCACTCACTTACGATTATTGGAGTCTTAATACAGAATCTATACTCCTATACAGAATTAAATATTCCATTATTTAAAGGTTGTAGTACTTAAAAATTATGCTCCTTGCAAACTGCTATATTGTTCATGATGCATATTACTAATCCGATGTAAATAGTTTCTACGATCGATATTAAAAATATCATTCATGTTAGAGTAATGAAAAAAATTCAAAGTACTCGTACTGCTTCGATATTTTAGATTACAGATAATGAGTTAATTATGGATAATTGCTGTAAATTTAAAAATAGATGATACCGGTATCATATACAGCCATGTTCAAAAGCTAGTTTAAACTATTTGACTAATCACCGGCAATAATTATAACTCGTGCAGTGGTGATAGTAGATAAATTGTAAAAGTTTCGTAGAACCTAGCTAACTAAATTTACTTTCACTGATATAACAATAGGCATGACATGTTTTATAAAATATATAGGTACGAACAGCAGATCCTTATTCTTGGAGTATGCAAAGATTGCAATTTGATTTTAAACGCAGCCTTTTTGACTGATTTATAAGCGATAATTTTTATTGTATATATGAACCCATTTCTCTATAAAGATAAATTTCTCACTGATATTTATTAATATTTATATTCTTATATTGGAGATTGTGCCGGATATTCATCTCATAGTGTTACATAAAGCAGCTTTAAACGCTATCATACTCAAAAAAAATTAATTAAAGTTATGATATTTCTGACGAAAAACCAATAAATAATTATAACAAAGGATGTATTAAAGTATGTTTCGTATGCCATTTACGAGAATTTACTGAATTGCTATGCTCCAATCTGATAAGATTGTGCCAGTGATAATTCTAATATATTCATACATGCATGCCTTATACGTTGCATATAGAAAGATTTTTGAGCTTTGAATTAATTTAAAACAGCTTCAGTACTTCATTTAAAAAGGCTACTTCATAGTCACTATCGTATCAGCTCTAGTTAGAATTACTAAATTCATGAGATTTCCTTCCTTATACATGTGTAACGCTTTTCTTATGTATTTAGTTATATGAAATTGTTCGTATGGCAGCAGGTCTCTTAATTTTACAAACATTAAACTACCTTCATTAATGTCTGCTAATATTTCCACACTTTATTAACTCCATATTTTTTAATTAATAAGACATAAATTTGGAGCCATTTATTTACTTCATTCCAACTAGTAGATAGTTTGGTCCTCATCAGGCATTCTTAATTGCCTCCTGTACTTTACTGCTACTCGTGAAATTGACTAATACTTCTTTAATAGAGATTTAAGTAGGCCGTAGCTAATACTAGCATATTAAGCATAATCGAAAATGCTAATAAATCCTAAATTTGCACAAAGAAGTTTTAGTTTGTAACGGCATTGCATTTGATTATACTTGAAGCACTATGTATTAATAATAATGAAATTTAATATACATTACATTCACAATTTCTTTAATTAACAAAGGCAATAGGTGTTACTGTCCATGTCAAAATCGGAAATTTTGCAAACTTACTAAAGATCTATAGTTATATATATTGTATTGAAGTTCCATTATAGTTCAGGATTTATATTGTATTTCAAATTAATAACCATTTTAGGCTTATCTTGATATCAAGCATTGTATTTAAATTATTTGCTGCCTTATTTTTATTGATTATATATCTATTATCATAGTAAGCTTCAGTCGATAGCACTCCTATTGAACAGTATTACACAGTTGATACGTCTCTGCTTCTCGACGATATCATTTCCATTAGTTCCACATCTAAAATTACATATATAGCAATTATAATTCTTTAATTTAGCCAATAAAATATCTGTTATTCAATTTTAATTTAACCTGGGGATTTTCCGCTTGAACTTTCTTTGGATTTTTCCTGATCTTCTGAGGCTGCTTTAGCAGCTTCACGCCTGGCTGATACAATGCAGTAGAAAACTCCTCCAATTATTCCAAATATAATAGCGAAACCAACAAATCCAATGCCGATCATAAAAGAGCGGTTTCTATCTGCAATGATAGAGTAAGTAATTACAGATTTGCTCATAATTTACCTCTTATAATGTCAAGCATAAAGGCAATGCTTTACTAATTTTACAAAGAAACATTTACTTGCAAACAAATAAACAAATTTTTCTATTATTTTGTTTTAGAATTAGTCATATTATTCTTGTAAATACTACCATACTTTGCACAGTAGAGATTTGTATGGATCTGAATGTTTAAACACCTAAAATGCTTTAAAATATGTATCTAACCCTAATTCCGAATTTTTACTCCCTCAGTACATTACTATTTGATCGACTTACAATTATATGGCTATAAATCACTTTTAGCTAATTTCTTAGTATATATATATATATACTTAATTCTGCTCCGCTGACGATGAAGTCGTGCAATATGAAGGCACTAGATTGATGACTTTTATGTACTGCAAGTGAAATTACAATAAAAGCGATCTGCAGCAAATAAAGAGCATAAAAATATTCAATTGCATTTCTTTCGCTTTTACTAATTTTATTATAATTATAATTAGCCACACCTTTACTTTTCCTGAATGATGAGGATAAATTACGCTTTTCTTAGTGAGCTGATTTTTCGAAACGGCATGCAAGTTAACCGTGGTAAAATTGATAAGATGTTCATGTTCATCCACAGCATGAATTTGGTAGTGACTAAGGTCATTTCCTTCCACTTCATAGTGTATCATAATCTAAAATCAAGCGTACAGAGAATGTATTTAGCCGGTCATTAACTCTAGTCATATCATCGTATGCGATGTAGAAATGATAAATTTAATAAATTAAATTCTATTATCAGTCTTCAATCGATATCCTAGATATAATTTTTATAATTCTACGAAAATTATGGACTAGCAATTTGCATTCTGTTTCATGATAAAATGTGATTAGATTTTCTATCTTAAGGTACAGTATTATGATAACTCTTCAAGAATTTTAGAATAGAATTTGATATATCTGCAGCATTTTCTCAACTTCGATCAGACAAACTGAGCTAAGCTAGGATACTGTTATAATATTTAAATACAATAGTACAATTGAAAAATGCATGCAACGTTATAAGGTGGCAATATGAAGTAATATTGATCGATAAAATATATAACAACAGTATACTTTCCGCGCATGAAGTTCACTATGAGATGAAAACAAATCTTCCAGAATTATACTGAAAACAAATAATATGCTGTTATTGCGTGAACTATTAATGAAATCTCGGCTATAAAGCCTACTGTCGATTGCTATATGTAGTTAATTTTAGCAAAATTATTCAGTTATCGTACTTTGCCGTAGTATTTGTTTAAAAAGCAATGTTGGGCTAAGCAGAAGTGGATATTATTAGTTTTTTGTCACGTACAATAGTGACTTGATTGGATTGGGGTTTACTAAATTCATAGGAATAACAAATGTGCTATTTGCATATGTGGTAATCGATTTATATCATCTAAAATTATCTTTATAAATCTTTAATCTAACTTGCTCTCTAATTAGAGTTAGAATATACAACTATAGCCAGGTTCTGGATATCTAACGCTCAGTATTTGACTACTCGTCAGATATTAATTATTATTTTCTCCTCGAAATATATGCTGTATTAAATTTTATCAATCAGTTGCACCTATAAATTTAAACTCCCACTGATATTCTTCTTTTCAAAGATAATTCATTTTCATTGAATATAAATAAAAATTCTGATCTTACCTGCAATGGCTTCGATATTAAATTAAGTAAGGGGCTTTCCAATTTTGCAATCATTTGCTGGTCATATTCTGGAGGCCTAACGACATAAGCAAAAGGGGGAGCCACTATATAGGAGTGAATAGAAAGTAAAATAAGGGAATAATATATAGGAAAGTTAGGTGTTTAATTCATTAATGTAATGAAAAAATATGAAAAAACTTTTCAATTTAACTTTAAAACAGGATTTGTTGAATTTCAGCGCTAATACTTATACCAATAAACACTGATACTTTGTTTGGTTTGAATAAACGTGAGTAAAATAATTATTATTCGATAGCTATAGTGCGAATATACTTTTAACAGAATGGCTCTGTCATGGCTAACCTAATGAATTAGCCGATAATGGACTATATCTATATTGATGAGATTCTTGTTTTGGAAACCAATTCCAACCAATATTTCCATGAAGGATGGTACTTTTCCAATTGCATAAGCCGCATTCGAATGTTGAACAAATTGTAGGACTACCATAAGGGTCTAATTGATGATTTATTAGCAATGTTAGCAAGTAATTTATGATCACTAATAATTCTGTAATGTTAAATTGCTATGATTAGAATATTTTTATACTCTTCCGAAAGGATAGATATACGGTAGTATTTCTCAAATGGACTGCTCGTATGAATAATAATTAATCTACGTGTACGACATAAAATGAGTCGCTGGCCCTACTTAAATGCTAATCTCCGATTACAATCAAAAAATCTATATCACAAGTTAATAATTCCTAAATATATTGGGGTCATTATGCATTGAATGTTACGCAAAACTAAATCATTGATAACTTTTATCTAAATGTTTTACGCTCACATTGGAGAAAAGTAACTGTGTAATTGTAAGTTTGTCAGTAGTCGATGTCTTATGATTAAATAAGCCTAATTTTACGCTATATGCATGTATGTGTTGATTATTAGCATTCGCTTTCGTATTATATTAAAAGAATAGCCTCGAACATTCAGTATTTCAATATTTTATTGCTTTCATCTCTATACCTGATGTAGCACAAGGCTTTTGACATTGCACAAACACATAGGAATTATCTGGACATGGGATACTGTTCATAAATAAGTTCGACTTGGACACCTGGCAAAGTTGTAGTCTCGATTCGTAACCATAGCAGTGCATTCTCATCGTCCAGCCGTTCAGTTTCATTTTGTTAGCAGGGCGCTCATTGCCTGCAATATATTTGGTAAAAGTTTTGATCTTAATTATCAGCGAAATAAATCTATAATAATCACTGACTTGTAGATCGCGTAGATAGTAATAGCTACGGTATTCAGCAAAGCATTCAACAGATCTGAATTCTGTATACAATATCAGCGATAAAAAATGATAAATTTTAAATTAACAAAGATGGTAAGAAAATCATTCATTTAAATAATGAGGTACCTAATTGACGGGCTGCTCCATCAAATCCCATTTGGCGACATATTACGTCATCGTTAGACATTGCCCAATTTTTAGAGCAGACACCAAAGGTATGATTTTTACTATCGATGACAATATAACCGGAACTCTTATCCTTTCCACCTAGCATATTCAGTCAAAGGAAAGTATTATATATTACAATGCGATCGGAAAGTCTGATTCCTTTTTGTATTTTATTCTTATTATCTAAAGCAAACTAAAGAGTCCATGTGATCAGGAAGCTACTTCGCTAGAATTTCAAATAGTGCTTAATTAAGAGTGCGAATAGATTCTGCTAATCTCACTACGGATGTAGGCTATATCTTTTGATGATAATAATTGACATTGACCACAAATAAGAAAAGATCATGGCAAAAGAGTTTGAGAATTTTTAGAATAATAATCTTTCCTGTAAAATGTAAATTATCCATTAAAGAAGCTGCAGTTAAATAAAGGCATCTTCCTTCGCTAATGTTAACTATCTGAACTTATTCACCTTTCCTTATAGAATAACTTCAAAAGTAGATAAGAATTGATTTTAATATCATTCAATACTATCAATTCTTTAGTAGTTAGTATTATTTTGAAATGGAACGTTTCGCATCTAGTCAATATTACATCTAGTAGTTTTTTCTAAATTTCTTTTCGCTATGTCATACGCATTCCACAAGCCACAAAATTTTGATAGGGTTTATCTGATCATTGTTGCCTCTAACATTTTTCATAACCCATTCGCTATGGGTCAATGTTTCAATTGATTTCTTTTATCGTAAAAATTAAATATGGTATTTACTAAGATTTATTACGGCAATAATTCATATTGTTTAGGTATTGATAGAATATGACGGTGTTTATAGCGCCAATACATGTTGCTTCATAAACTCCTAATTTTAGGTTAAAATTCGAAAATATGTCCTACAAAGTCCTATACCTTTTATCGAGATAAGGATGTTGTTAGTTAATATTAGCGAATCGCTAATCACATATTATCTGACTAATCGATACTGTAAAGCTTATAAAGTCATTTTAAAAGTTTCACATTAAATAGTTTTATAGCTAACCCTGTCATTTTATTAACTAGTGAAACAACCTATGCCATCTGCTATACAGCGATTATCTCCGTTATTAAGGATCTCAAGAGCTTATAGAGAATATATCATATTTGTAGTATACTCTGCTAAATATAATTCTACAATATCAACGAATAATGTAAGCTTTGATAACAGGATTGGAATTAAGATATATAAATAGGAAATAAGTATGTATCACACAGTCACGATAAGTAATAGTTTTAAATCGCACAATATCCTTTAAAGAGAAGTGGGTATAATGACAGTGTAGTTTGGTAGAATGATAGTCTTAATAACGGGCTAAAATACCATTATGCCAGATTAACCTGAAAGTTTAACGGACCAATTATTGTCATTGGACAGGCGTAGGCTTCCTACATTAATTATGACAGAGAAAAGAGAATTAAGTTCTTTATGGGTATGGTTAAACAAACTTAATATGAATTTCAATAAATCTAATTGCAGTTATATTACAAGATTATCGCAAATGGAAGGAGCTTTCCAGTTTAAATAAGAGATTCTAAACAATATCTTAAATTCTTATAACCAAAAAAGGTATCTTTCTGATCTTATATTACCAGTTTAGTACTGTTGTAGAATATATATAGGAGTCATTCTTACTTTTAATGATATCTTTCAATGAGGTTGTATCTTTGTAAAGACTTGGCATAGCTCTAGATTGCTTGTTTTTCTTGTGAGCTGTCATATCTTGAATTTTCATTAAAATACCAGTCAATTTATCATCTGGACTAGATCTCTGGAAGAGCTGATGCAGTTTCATAAAAAATTGATAGTCGAAAGTCAACTGCTGGGATTCAAATTGGCTGATGAAATATGAACGATAGAACAATTTAGGATACAAGTAGACAATATAGAAAATGAATGAAGCTATAAGCAATACGTCTTCATATTATACTAAGTATTACATTAATTTTTCATAGGATAAACTCTAGCATATTTAAGACAATAAAAAAATCAAAAACTTATTGTGAGCAAAACTCAGCTCTGTAAACAGTTTATGTATAAATTCAGAAAATATTGGTGAATAACATCTCTAGTAGTCTAAATTTAGTACAATGAAAGTGTTACAAATGTTAAATAGCTATAAAGTTTTTAAATATACGAATGAATAGAACTGGAGCTTCGCTTTCAGGGATACAAATAATCTAAGTAAGAAGATCTTCCCTGAATCTCCTCAATCCGATTAATATAGTCGTGTTGACCTTTAAACCTTTAAGGTCTATCTATCTTACTTAGATTAGATAATAGTATTGGCATATGAAGCCAGTCTAATAGTAAAAGGTAGACAGTACACAGTATTGCAAGCGAATTTTATGCACTTGAAAAAGAAGCATTGAAATAAAAGTCTCAGTAATGTAAAATATGCTCACTAACTATGCACTATACCAATATCCATAATATCCATTTTTTTATTTACGTAATTGCTCGGATAATTTAGAATAAACTATATGTAACCAATATTATCACAACTGACGTAGCTATAAATAATACTCATAATTTTTAGGCAGCATTATAAAAAAGACATGCAAACAATTGTAAAATAAATTTGCGCTAATATAACATCACACAATTCTGTAACTACGGCAGAACTCGATAAATTCCAAAGGAACTATCGATTCTGCCAGCTAATGCATACATACTCTCTCTAAGAATATTATTATATAGTAGCATTTCTTAATTTATAATTGTATATCAGCCGACTACTGCTTATTATAAAATTTATTAAAGGAAGTAAAATATCGTAAACAGTTTCAAATTATCGTACGGTTTTTTTACTCCTATGATGTTGTAACGAAACTTAGTATTGTGATTGTAGACTTTTTTTAGCTAAGTTTAGTAAGATGCACGGAAGCGCAACTTCCTATATTTGTCTTAAGACGTATTTGGTAGTTCGCTCCATAAGCTGTAATAGTAGATTCTATGCTACAGTACATGACTATATATAGGAAGGTGTTGAGTTACTATTAAGGCTAGAGATATAAATCGAACTGTAATTCATATATTAGGATAGGTTAGTTTACCGTACTTTGACTGCTAAGAATAATATCTACGGAAATACTGCAGTTGTTTCCATTTCGGATTAATGATGGTCCGCTATAAAATGTTATTACTAATAATAATTTGACTATGTGTAAATTATAGTAGAATCTTGCTAAGCCGATTGTGGCTATGACTGCTACGAAATGTACGGTGTATATCATAACATTTTGTCACTTTCGGGCAATGTTTTTCTTTAAAAATACAGTAAAGCTATAATAGAATGATTTAATCAGTATTTGATTATTAAGATCACTGGTTGATGCTTTTCAAAGTGACAAAATACTTTGATACACACTGTATATAAGCTAGCAACTTTAGATTAATCAGCTAGTTCTTTCTGGAAGTCTTTCAGTAGTTGTATTCGGCTAGAGTAGGGCTGTGTGTAGCTAGTCTTTGCATTAGATATAATAAAGTTCTAACTTTCTACAACTTGGAATATTCGTGATCGGATTTTATCGCAGATATAAAAATTAGTAATCTAAAAAATTCCAGCACTCTTGCTGAATTTATGTATAGGCTATATCTCCAATACAATTCACGAGATTTATGTACCTTCAACATATTTTGCAAAAGAATTATCGTCAAAATATTACTTTAAGTATCAATTCTAATTTATTTACAGTAGTGTATAAGCCACGATATCAGTGCATTTTAGAAAATGATTGAATATTATAAAGATAAGGTTTCGAGTTGAAATCCATAATTTCGTAAAGTTTTAAGAGTTTTGTAAATAGTTTCTCATTCCTTAAGCATCCCAACACCAAAATTTAAAACTAAACAGATGATGGAAAAATAATTAAACAATATACAACATCTTGCAGATGGCATTCGTCTATCGTGATCCTATGCAAAATGCTGCAATATGGTGAAGACTTGGTAGAGCATATTTTTTATTTATATAAAATTAGATATCCTGAAGCACTATTAATTGATTGTAAGCTACTATTGTGCTGTATACTATTTCTGACGTCTTCAATGCTTAAAATTTAATTTTAATTTTTATCATGGACAAAAATTTAATAGCGTTTGGTAGAGAGATACTATTAAACTGCACAAAAATCAGCAACTTTTACTAGTTTTCAGAAAAGTATCTAAGTTTTAATGTTAATATTTGTCATACATATGCTTTGTCCATCGTGGTATATTCTTGATGTCATCAATCCATGCTGTACAAGAAATTTTTAGCTGTTTCGGATAGCACTCGCAATATCGCGGACACACGATATTGGTCGATTTGATATTCGATCGATACATGTAGCGCAAGCCTAAATCCTTTATATCATCTTGAAGGCCATCACATAAAGTAGTGATAAGAAGGAAGCCAAAAGAAATGGCTTGGAGCGCAGTAGTTTTCATTTTCTACAAAGAAATTGTAAGGAAATTGTTTAATGGGCTGATTCTGGAAGTTTGGATATATCAAAGTATGTTTGTCTGACTGGAAACAGCTAAATTTATAGCACTGATACTGAATGAGAGCAGGCTAATTTTATAACCAGAAATGGCATTATCGGCAATTTGAATAAAACTTTCTCAGACAATAAGACTGGCAACGATAAAAACTATTGAAAATCCCCTTTTCCGTGTTTGGCATATCCGATATTTATTAGATTTTTTGTTCTCTTCTATTGTTAGTAGGAAATTACTAAGATAAGTAGACTTACACTTTAAAATCTAAGTAGAATTGAAGGAAAGCTCTATGAATTAAATAAAAGATGTTGAGGTCATCCATTGTACAAAAATCATAATATAAAAAATTACAGAAATTTAAAAAATACATTAAATTACCATTATGATCTACTAACAGCTATTCAGTTATTACGTTATTTTAAAGTACTTATAGTTACATTAACTTATATAAAATTTTAATTAAGATATTTTCTTGCATGTTCATTCAAAAGTACTTAGAAATGTTACATTTCTCAGAACGTAGATGGCTCATACTCATTAGATTTAGTACAATCAGTAATGTGAAGTCTTTCTCGGTGAGAACAAAGGATTGGCTTACAATAACTCTTCATTTATCGTATTTTCATGATCATTGTGCCACCTTTGAGCAAATTCTTCACTGATTTACAGCCGTAACGTAATATTTTACAGTGAAACGTCATTAATCCAATATGGAAATTATCATAGTATTTTCGTAAACATTATACATACCATACAAAGTACAATGCACTAAGCGTATCCTAATATATAATTTACAATTCTTTTTCTACCTCTAACATTATAAGTAGCTCAACATCTTACTGCATTTAGTTATCTGTATTCTAGTATCAAGTCTACCCTTACAGTCTATAATTATGGGCTACTAAATATATCATAAGATAAATATAGAAAGACACTACCGTACGTCATACTAAACATGGCTAATAGTCTACAATCACGATACTAAGTTATTTTACAATAAGGTAGAAATTCTTGATTTGGATGGAAAATTCTTGAAATAGAGAGCTTCTTTGGCTGAAGAATGCCACCGATGCTCCAAAGATTAAGCCAAAGAAGGTTGTAGCTATTTATTACAATACTTATAACCTAATCACGTTGACGTTTTATATTCGTCAAAACTTATTGTAAGTATATCGTAATTGCTAAGCATATTAATACTGTCTTCAGTGATATCCATACTAATCTCCTTCTTTCAAAATTCCTTGCAAATTTTCGAATTCCAACATTAAAATTATAATCAACGACTATAACGTAATCGAAATTTGTTTCTTTTCGACCTCTAATTGCATCGGTAAATTAAATACCCATATCTGAAATCCTGACATATACGTCAAGCTAGCAATTTTTATTGAGTTATTGCACGTTATTAAATAAGATCATTGGCAAAAATAATCAGAACGTCAAAATAATACAAATTTAAGGTTAACGGAGGTCAATATATTTGAATATTGTATAGAAGTTACAAATTTCTGGATTTTCATGTCAATTGGATCCCCTTTAACCATAACTATGTAATTGTTAAATTTTGAAAATGCAGCGTTTAGTATCTTGATAATATAAATCTTTGAGTCTAGAATCTGTCTTTAAAAATCTCGGTACTATGCAATATTTGTAAGAATCCTAAACATAATTTTCAAAAATAATATTTCCTTTATACCGGTTGAAGCAACATCCAGGACGTACTTTAAACAGTAAATTAACCTTTAAGAAGTTTATAGCATAATACCGGTATGTTAGTGAATGATTAACAACAGAAATTAATAAAATGTAAACATAAAAATGATCATTTAGAAATTGATTACAAAACATCTTGGTTTTCTGGCGCTATTAATTAGCTAATGTATTTTTGTACGCAAAGAAACGTCAAAGTCAAAAGCTGTATATGTTACCTAAAAAATTAAGGATATTTCATATTTTACAATATATTCTATTCTATTCTCAAATAATTTTTGGGTTATTTTTGTGAGCACTCCCTAAAGTACTTCTGTTTAATTCTAAAACATGTTTTCTTGCTTAACTGGTTAAGGAATTTAATTTTTAGCATTAAAAGTAAGAATATAATATTCTATTTGTTGCTAACTAAAGTAGGAATTTACCATGAAATTGCAGTTTTCAACTCGTGAAATAATCGCTACCGAAGTATTGCAAGAATAAAATGGAGCCTGATATTTAGCTTAAATTTTCTTTTATCAATAGCTAATTGAATTTTACCAAATAATGGTCAATAAGATGTAGTATGCACTAATTTAAACTTCATAAATTCATGAAATTTTAATTTCACTTGTTTCCATTGTAGTAAGATAATGAGTGAAGAAAAACTTAGATTTTTACTACTACTTCTGTCAAAACATTGCTAGGTATTCTTGACATTAGTGAGAAATTAACCAGTGAGCAGATTATTACTGTCTTTGAGTAAAATGGAATGCAGTTTTCATATGGTTTTCGAAATATTATAAATGTCCATTATGTTAATTGAATGAACGAGGAAGCGTTCTACCATTTAAGTTGTATGGATTTTGTGACCTTCCATGAGATCTATTTAATTTCATTACAATCTCCTATAAATCCCAGCTTAAACCGATTTTGGCGCAATTTTTTTTAAATTAAACCTTTATTCCAAGCTATAAATTGTTATTTAAATTTTTTAATAATCAAATTTCTTACTTTAACATATAATAAATCATAATACATTATTTAGTTCTAAAATTATTACGTTTCCTTCGATTATTGTGTTGAAAATATTTACGATTGATATCGTAACAGCTTTACCATCATTTATAAAATTTAGTAAATTTTTAGGCCATGATTGTTAAAGACAGATTTGATAACCATAAATCAATTCAGTTTAATATTAAAATAAAATTTATTAATCGAATTGCTTCGATACAAACTATGTGTTCCTTTATAATATTTGATTTG